CTATTTTGTGTCACTCAGATTTAACTTTCCATATATTAAGGAATTATTCTCCTCAAGTTATAAAATCGTCCCCTGAAATGTATTTAAAAATCCACATATTTACACTTGAAAGCAATTTATTTTTTCATTTTTGTAAAATATAAATATTCATTGTTATGTATTTACTAGCTCTCTGGTTACTTTGACAGGGTAAATTTCTGAATTGTAATTACTGAGTTAATGAGTATGGGAAACACTCCTAGGATTTGCACAGATTTCCTGGGACCCATTCTAATGGGGGATGGGATGGTGTGGATGGGTAGAAGGGAAGGAAGTTGTCCTGTTTGAGACCATGCTAGTCCAGCAAAGGTTCCAGATCTATTATTGGCTAGAGCCCTGTTTTGATAAAATAGCTTCCTCTCTATTTTCCCAGAGTACATTTATGCTTAAAAATATGACCTTTAAGATAGAATCAGAAAATCATGACTTATTATGACTGAAGCTGATACATTGATGAAAAATGACACATTTTACAGAAGGCTGAAAATCTAAAAAGAAAACATACAGCTTGAGAATGCTAACCTTCTGAAATTTTCTTGAAGTCAGAAAATTTAAGAGTGTGTGGGGCCTGGTCTAATTTCCCTCTTATGATATTCTTCATAGCATTTACAAAGGGATTTGCACAGCGCCTTCAGAAACCCTGTAAGCACAGCTGTCCACCTTCCTAAAGCCCCGTAGAAGTAAATATTTCACAGAGAAGACACTTGGGCTTTTCCTGTCTGTGTGTTTTATGTGTTCCAAGTGAAACCTTCCAGCCCTTTCTATCACTGATCTTGGGCTTCACCCTCAAATTGCCTCAAGAATAATAGCAGCTAACAGATGAGGGAAAACCCTCTTGGTCTTGACAGTGCCCTTTGTTCTTTATACACCTGTTTTATTCCTCCCATAACCTGTTCACATGTGTAACACATATTTGGCATGGAACAAACAGCCTTAGAGAAATGAAGGCACTTCTCTGTGTCACATAAAGGGCTTGGTATGTTCGGTCTCCCTCCCTTGGAATTCTGACAATGGCTTCTGATTCCAAATTAAGCAATGTCTCTGCATCCTCACCACTGTTTTAACTATTAGATCATTCACTGATTTAACGTTGATTGAGCAAATATCATGAGTAAGATTTCCAGAATAGAAAATTGACCAGACAGCCTCATCCTTTTGTGGCTTTGGCAGGAAGACATGGAAATGAGTAACAATACACAGTGATGTGTGTGAAAAAAGAAATTGTTGGATTGTATGGGGCAAAAAGATAAATATCATATACTTTCCCTGATTTGTGGTAACTAATATACAGAATGAAATTGACATTTTGAGATTAGGTTATTGTATATAACTCTTGTCTACACACTTGAGAACCCATGGTTTTCTACTTATTCCCTGTTGAATAGTTTATAGTCACAAACTTAACATATTTTCAATTTATTTACTGGGGGGTTATTTAAAAAAGTAAAGAAGAGGGCCCGACACAGTGGCCTAGTGGCTGAAGTCCTTGCCTTGAACTTGCTGGGATCCCATATGGGCACCGGATCTAATCCCGACAGCTCCACTTCCCATCCAGCTCCCTGCTTGTGGTCTGGGAAAGCAGTCAAGGACGGCCCAAAGCCTTGGGACCCTGCACTCCGCGTGGGAGACCTAGAGGAAGTTCCTGGCTCCTGGCTCCGGGTTGGCATATCACTGGCTATTGTGGTCACTTGGGGAGTGAATCATCGGACGGAAGATCTTCTTCTCTGTCTCTCCTCTCTGTATATCTGACTTTAATAAAAATAGAAATCCTTTTAAAATTAAGAAGAAAAGATGAGAAATAGGAGGCAGCTTGGCAATGAGGGATGGGGATGGAAAGGCAGGACTTATTATGGCCTTAAAACTCTACACATGGAATAGATGGTCTTAAAATTGTACACATGAAACACATGAAATCGATTGCCTTTAGATACAACTGATTTTTGAATTTAATTTATATAAATTTAAATAGGTGTTAATGACCATAGGTCTACTGCTGACTCTCAATTGTTACTAATATTTTCTCATATTCAAATTCACTCTCACACATTCACATGTTTTTGTGCGCTGTGTCGGTCAGGCTTAAATATTCTCTCAAAGACAATGTGTAATCTAAAAAATAGGATTTTATGTTAGGATATTTTAAAAATTATTTTAGATTTTATCAATTATTAATTCACTTGAAGTATGCAAAAATAGTTCCTAAATGACATGTTGTAAACTTGCAATCCCAAAACACATTTATTTCACATGAGTTCTGTGTAAGATATTGTACAGCTGGAGTAGAAGACTAAATGCCATTTAATAGCAAATGATATAAAAATGATTCCTGCCACTAATGGGTAAGCAAGTACCAAACAATGGCTGTACACTAGGAGTGGGTGATGACCCCTGGATTTCTGTTTGCTTAGCCCATGTGGGAAGCCTAGGCACATGGCATTCTGTCTTCCCAGGGGAACCCCCTGACATTGGTCTTGGCCAACTGAGACTCCAGCCTGGCCATGTCCACTGGGCATGCAGCAAGAGTGGTGGACTGTATTCCAGTCTCTCTTTTCTGTCCTTGGACAAGCCGTACTCGGACATCCCTGATAACCAACCCTAAGAAGTCAAATGTGACTCACATCCTGCTTTCCAGCCACATGTGATGAATATGACCAGAGGCACAACTTTTAGCCTAGGTGCTAGAATTTGTGTTCACTGAGTCAAAGCCTACCTTCCCATGACCTTAGGCTTGTGATCTGCGACTTGGTCGGAGGGTTTGGAAAGATAGACATGCTTCCTAGCCACCTATAAATGTCATTGTTGCGTAGGAGTATCATCTGGACCACTCTTCCTCCTCCTCCCTTTTCTAATACTATTTAAGCCTGCAAGTTCCCCCAGTAAACAGACATCCCTCACCAGTTTGTTTCCCGTGGTTCTGCAGCTGAAGAACACTGATGCCTCACTCCTCGGAGCCTCCTGGCAGGAAGGTTCCCCGACAAGTAGGCACTGAATGAAAGACATCCAGGTGCTGTGACCAAGCGGGCTGAGGCTGTTGTGCGTGTATGCTGTTCATCCTCTTTGTGAAGTAGGTAAGCCAACACAGTGGAAGTATAGATGGCGGGGTCTATGACCCTTCTGGAATGACGTCTTGTAGTGTTAGCTATGCTCCCAAGACCAGCATGGGTAATCTCCAAGAGCCAGGGAATTCAGAATGAATTCAGAATGGACAGCAGAGCACTACAGGGATGAATAGCTGTGGCTCACATTCAACTGTGGTGGTGAGTTTTTGTTCACACCATCAATCTCCTTCCTTTGTCTTCAGGAAGAGAAACTTACGTGAAACATGCAAGAGCTACATCCTGCATGGTGGCCTTCAGAGCAGCAGCTGCCTGTGGCTGGGGCACAGACTGTGACAGAGAGTTGCTATGCTGTTGGTTGCTGCCCCTGCCTGTGGCTCGGGGACAGACTCACAGAGCTGGTGGCTGTACCTCTGTGTCTCTAGGGGAAGAGTTCTTGAGCCTGAAATGCTCTTGTTCTGGTGGTCAACGTGAAGGGTCTACTGATCCACAGCCAGTGCCGTTGCCCAGCATTGTGGGCTCCCCTTGCCTGGGAGCGAGATCTTACTGAGGAATGGACCTTGGTGTATGGAAACAGACAGAAAAGAATCCTTGGAGCACCCGGGGTCACTCAGGTGGGCACCCTTCTAAACTGCCTTGATTTCTGCACCTACCACAACTTAATGGTGATGCCCACACATTTTTTTTTTTTCTCTAGATGTTCTCACGTGATGCTAGTGGTCAGATAGAAGTGAGAATCTTGATCAATTTCGTTGTACACATGGAAGTTAGATAACAGGGTGCTATTTCTCCTCTTAAATCATAAAAACCAAGTACTTTAATTATTTAGCAGAGAATGTACGAAAAGATTAGTGAATAAAAGTACGGGTCACTTCTATTTTTTTCCTTCCTTTTTTGAGCTTACATTTGATAAAATAGCTAGTTTTATTCATTTGATAAACTTTTATTTCAACTTTTTATTTTTTTCCTCCTAACACTATTTGTGTTATGCCTTTTGGACACAAATTGTCCTGTATAACACTAAAATAGAAATGCGTATTGAAATAGTTTCTTTTCACTAGAGTAATTTCTCTATGTTCTATAAATGCTCATTTCTCAAAAATATAACACATTTCACTTTCTTATTTCCAGGGAGAAGCCCTATACCATCCACCTGTTTTCTTTTCTTATAGCCACCCTGAAATTAGAGCATTGAACTGTGGAGGAGTGCGATCTATCTAGATTGGGGAGGTCCAAGGAAAATCTTCTGAAACATTTTTTTAAGTCCCTCACAGAATAATAAACCAACAATGTTGCTTTACCAGGGTGCAGAGAACAGTGCCTCTCCACAGATGGAAGGAACCTAGAGTTTATGGTCCCCATCCCATCTCCACCAATGTGGGTCCCAAGGAAAGGCTGTGACTCCTAGGGCATGACTGTCAGTGATGCAAAGTACGGTATGGTACTCTTCTTGTTAGAAGAAACCATTGTGTGGCCTTGGCTTTGAACATGTGTGCTTTTATAATCCAGTTGAAAAAGATGAGAAATCATTTTCATGGTCACGGAAGAGATAAAAGGATGTGTTTATAGCTTCCCCCAAAGCAATGTCACCTTGTTTGCTCTGCATTGTGATGCAGTCTGAAGAAATTTTCGCTGTCCTGATTCCTACATGAGAATGAATAATGATTCGCTCACCCCCACCCAAGCCTATCTGTGTCCTAATGTCCCAAACCTGGGGCTATGTTACCTTCCTGGCAAAGGAACTCTGAGACAAAATGAAATTAGGAGTTGTGAGATGGGGAGATTATTCTGGATTATCTGTATTGGCCTGATAAAACCATAGATACATTTCAAAGGATAGTGAGGGAGGGGCATAAAGGAAAGGATGTTATAACGGAAAGAGAGAGAGAGAAAGCTTGTTGAGATTTAAAGGTGGGGGAAGACTGGGGTTGGAGTTCGGGAATCGAGGACTGGGGTTAGCTCCTCCAAGGCATAGGCGGGGATGCTGTTCTGCAGCTTCTGGGAAAACATTCTGCTGACGCCTGGCTTGTAAGACATCTGATCTCTGCAAGGGTTAAGATGATAAATTCATACAGTTTTAAACCTCTGAGTTTATGGTAACTTGTAGCATCAACAGTGGAAGCAAAGACTTCTCAGAAAGCATCAGAGCAGTGGCAGGAGGTAGGGCAGCTTTGAGTAGGCAGCAGCTTAATGGCATGGTCAAGGTCCTTTGGTCTTTATGAATGTTTTCTTTGACATACTCAGTGGAGTTCTTCCTTTTACTTTCAAGTTGGTCTCCTCATGGTGACAACAGCGATGCTGTGGTTCCAAACACCATGCCCCACATGCTCCTAATCAGATAGATAGGAGGAACAATTCATATTTTTTTTCACTGCAGCAGATTTTAAAAAAATCTGAACATGTACCCTTCACTGTGCTGACTTTCAAATCCAGGTAACCAAAGGAGACATTGCAAAGTGTGATGTAGATGTTTTGATGATAATAAGTAAGTAAATGAATTCTGAATCACTTCAGATTTTTGTTCTTTTTTGATAAAGATATGTGTGAACATGCAGGTTAAAAGCAGTGTTTGTTGACAAGATTTTGTTTATATTGATAGAGTTAATTATCTTGCATAGATCATCATAGGATTACAAACAAAATTAACTAAGTTTGAGTATTTATCAGTAAGTTCTTACGGAAAGGTTAATTTTTTGTTCTTTACATTTTATGTTAAAAACTTGACTCATCGGGCCCGGCCCGGTGGTGCAAGTGGTTAAAGGTCCTCGCCTTGCACGCCCCTGGATCCCATATGGGCACCGGTTCTAATCCCGGCGGCCCCGCTTCCTTTCCAGCTCCCTGCCTGTGGCCTGGGAAAGCAGTTGAGGACGGCCCAAAGCTTTGGGAACCTGCACCCGCGTGGGAGACCCGGAAGAGGCTCCTGGCTTTGGATCGGCATAGTATCGGCTGTTGCGCTCACTTGGGGAGTGAATCATTGGACGGAAGATCTTCCTCTCTGTCTCTCCTCTCTGTATATCCGCCTTTCCAATGAAAAAATAATAAAAATAAATCTTTAAAAAAAAAACTTGACTCATACTAACTGCATATATTATAGGGTATAGTGTGGCATTTCATACTAATCATATCAGCATATCTGGCAAATCTGTCACTCAGACATTTATCATTCATTTTTGTTAATACCCACTCGAAGACTACAGACTTCCCTGTAAAATGATCAAAGTGTACTTATTTTTCTGTAAATTTTAATAGTTCCCCAAAGTGATTTTTTTCCCCAAAATAGGTCTTGTTGACCTATTTCCTTGATCAGGAGTTGGCTTGTAACTGTGGTTGGTTACAATCCATTTTGCTATGAGTAGAACTGTGCCATGGCTCACGGACAAGGTAGCTGGCAGAAGTGCACTGGGAGGGTTCAAGGGTTCACAGGTAGGGGGCAGCTTTGCCAGCACCCCCTCTGCAGCTGGCGGAAGGGGAGGGGTCCCATGTGGCAGGAATGAGCTGTTGAGGTAGTTCAGAGTTTATTGGAGCCTGTTGAAGTTGCTGTAGTCTTCAAGCACAGAAAGGAAACTTTTACAACAAAACATTTCTTATGAAAAAGAACTTAGGACCCATGCTGCCCAGTATTATTTTCTGCATAAATCCTCCACAACTGTTGCTAGTGACATGGGGACTGAATCCATCTAGGAAGGGAGTGGGAAGCCAGAGAAATGGTCCTGAACCAGTAGTTCAGAGAGGAGTGTCTGAATTGTATTTGACTACTAAGTGCCTGCACAGAGCCAGAATGTACTTGTAATTTTCCTTGAAAGGGAAATGATACCTTACACATAATGAATGCTACTGCCACAGCAGCTGCTGCTGTTGCATGAGAGCTTCTGGGGAAGGAAGCATTGCAGCAGGTGCTTCACACAATGTCATTCATGAATACTTTACAAGGCGGAGGATGTCAGTACATCTCCACTTTAAAGGGGAGGAACTACAGTATAAAGAGGCATTGCCCAACATCACACTGTGTAGGAGTCAGCGCCCAGCACTCCGTGAAAGCTGGGAACTGCCTGCTTAAAGACAGATGACAAACAGGACTGGTCTTGACAACCTTTCTGTTTATACCAGCCATGTTCACCAGTTTGCACTTTGGCATCATGAGAATGTGGAGAGAGACTTGAAAAAATACTGCTGCCAAGGTGCAGCCTGGCAAGCAGACTCAGAAGCGCTCCTCAGTTTAGTTTATTTTGTAGTCGGACTGGAGAACCACTGTTTCACATGAATGTTCAGGGAATAATAAGAGAAGATTGGGAGAACTGAAGCACTTTCTGGTCTTGGAGCTCCAGTTTTTGGAAAGATGGATTTTCCTTGAATAGCTTCTGGGAGAGGTCTTTAAGTGTTAAATTCCTGGGCTGGGAACAAGCTTCCGAGCAGTCCTCAAAATTTAAAGCATTTGGGTTATCTGGAGTGACAGGGCGAGGGGGAGAATTATGTGGAAGGAACACTGGAGTTTGTTGGTGTAGGGCCGGAAGACTTGGTGCTGGGGAGTTGCTGTCTTAAGACAGGAAGTAGGTGTTGGACATGGTTCTGTAGGATTTCCACACAATCTGTCCAGATCAGAGGACAAGCAAAGCTCACGACAGAGAAGAGGTGACCATTGTGGTGGACAATAGGGCAACAGTCATTGACTCATCTCTTGGACGCTTATTTGATTGTTGCTTGGTGACCGTGTGCCTTAAACAAATCCTGTCTTCTTGGGCATGGTATAGCAATGTGGCCAAAGAATTGTTTGCTTCCAGCTTATCCCATTCACCCTACTACTCTTCAGCATTGAATATTCTTCTCACTGTGAGGTGAAGAAGAGGGTTTCTTGGATAAAATGACATTTCAAAGATCAAAGCTTCCCTGAATGTTTTAAAGAGTGAAATTTTCTTCTGTTTAGGAACATGTAGTTCCTCCTCCATCTTTCTGTCAGAAGTTTTGACGGAAAGCTCTTGATCTGCAGTAACTCCATGAAAATGAAAAACCCTCAAGATCAGAGTGAAAAAGAAAGAAGCAAGGGAAAGGGCTTGGGAAATATTTCTAAGGGGAATTTGGGGCAAATGTTTATGCATGAATAGATCATAACTGGTCATCGTGTTCCTTAATGGAGAGAGTGATTCTATTTTTGAAAAAACTGTAAACAAAGATGAATTAAAAATGTTTTTCACTAATTGGTACTGGGAGGATGATAAAATTATCAAAAATTATTAGAAAGAGATTTTCAATCAATCCTCCAGTTATATATTTCAGATGTAAACATTTTGAAGTGACTGAAAGATGAGCCATTCCAGTGAGAGAAAAAGACAAATGACAATGTGTTTCCTTCCTGGAAATTTGACTTCCACAGAGAATTGTCTTTTAGGAAAACTTGACAAGATTTCATTTAGTCTTACCTTAAGTTCAGTGTATTTCAATTTTTTAAGGTCAGTTCAAATAATGCTGAACTTTTGAATATGAATGTGTGATTGGGATAAACTCAGTATTCCTTCTGTCACCTTTTAGAAGACCATTGTGTGCCCATTACTGTAGTCCTGAGACATTTTGACTGTCTTGCAGCACTAATGCAAGAGGCAGAAACCACTGAAAAATTAAAGCTGCAACAGGTGTCTGACTTATTAGTGCATGAGAAAGGTACTGTGTACAAGCTTTTTCAAGTACAGCGTGAATGAATGAACACGTTCCTGCATTGATGTTTAAAAAATAAACGTTGCTGAAGGCAGCAGAGTAATCTCTTGGGAAAGAAATATGGTCAACATATTGACTTCTGTGACATGCTTTGTCTTTTCCAGGCTGTTCCATCACATCTATTAAGTTTTATGGGGAGTATTTTCCATAATGGCAGATATTACTCTTATTTTGCATTTGATTTTTTTGTGCCAAGAACTATCAAGTTCAATGCTTGATTTTGTTGTATTTCTTACAAGTCCCTAACATTTGTTTTCTAGATGATAAATCAGAATTTGAATCAAGGAATAGAATGAACCTCAAAATGCTTCCTATTGTCCATATATACAGTTGTCTCTTTGCTTAAATCTCCTGTAGATTTATATCTTAGGGAGAAGAGGTAGCTTAAAGCATTGGGAGGAGATCGATGAATTTATAGGGCTTACCATTTGGTTTTCAAAAGATCATTTAGTTCCATTTTATTTAAATAAGCTGGTTTATTAAATTTGCAAGAGGTCATATTTATTAAAGCAAATACCTATGTCAGATGTTAATAATAGAAGTTCTTCGACTATAGATGGATGTACTTGTTAACTCTTAATTTTCATCACCCACAGGATTATTAACCTGTGCTATTCTTGGCAATGCTGGTTATCACCAAGAATTCATCATGAAATGATTCTCTGTTTCTTTCTTCACCTTACAGTTTTTTTAACAGGTAGAGCACGTGACTTAATACTAAGAAAATATCTTGCTTCTTACATCAGCTCATAGATTTTTCACTTAATGTATCAGAAAAAATAACAGGTAGAAAAAATATCAGGTAGAAGTTTCTTAATTCTTTATGTTTAAATGAAGAATAGGCTGTGAGTCTGTTTCAAATATTTTATGTTTCTAGTGTTTCATGCTGCCTATCCTCATAGATGGTGTACTAGACCTTGAAATATACTGAATATGAAGGATGTTGAAGCCATATTCACATGTTCACAGTGCTTCAAATTGCAAATATTAACAGTTCATCTCCCGCCAAGTACCGCACCTTCAGAGGGACACATTATGTACGCCAGAAGTTGTAAGTTCTTATCTTGCTTTGCTACAAACTGATTGAGTTAGAGCGATCCGTATGAACTGTGCATGGACCATGAAATTATGAGTTGGAACCAGAATCTAATAGGAAAAATCCCCTGATTCTGTGGTTTTAGTCTTCTCATGGAGTGATGTTTTTTTATTTAGATATTGTTTTTCCCTCCAATAATTTTGTGCAAGTGGAAAACCTAAAGCATAAAGCAGTATACAGTGATAAAAGTGTAAAAAATAAAATCCACTCATGCTGTCTCAAATTACATTTTGATAATGCAG